GTCGGGGCATCGCGTCCAGACTCCCCCGATCTGCCGACAAACAGCTGATCGGCAGATCGGGGCAGCCATTTAAATTTAAATGAAGCCGCGATTATTTTAATCGCGGCTTCATTTCCCTCTTCCAATCTGGCTAATCTACATGCCTCCGTCGAAGGAGGCATGTAGTCTAGACACACCCTCCTTCTTTCCTTTCTCTTGTTTCTTTCTCAATAAACCTCCTTTCCTACTTGCTGCTTTCTCTTCACATGCCTTTCTCTGACTCTTATTCCATAAAGACTGATAATTCTTGACAGCTCAAACTGGAATGCGCAGCAAAATGAATGCCTGTTTTCTTCTTTGTCAATAAATCTACTTGCTCTATATATGCCTATAAGTTCCACAGCATTTATACTTTCTCCAGCCCTGCTGAATCCCAGGTATATAAAACTGTGGCCTCTATATAAAACCATGGTATGCCCACATCTTGAATACTGCATACGGATGTGGTTCCAATGCCAATATATCAAAAAAGATATATTGGCACTGGAAAAGGTTCAGAAAAGGGCAACAAAAATTATTGGTGTTTGGAATGGGGCCCATATGAAGAGAGTTTAAAAAGACTTGAACTTTTCAGATTAGAAAAGAGGAGACTAAGGGGGAGGGGAGATATGATAGAGGTCTATAAAATCATGACTGGTATGGAAAAAGTGAATAAGGAAAAGTTATTTACCTAGTCCCTCAATATAAGAACTAGGAGTCATCAAATGAAAGTAATAGGCAGCAGGTTTAAAACAAACAAAAGGAAATTTTTCTTCATGCAGTGCACAGTCAGCCTTTGGAACTCCTTGTCAGAGGATGTGGTGAAGGCTAGGACTTTAACAGGGCTCAAAAAAGAATTAAATAGCCATTGATGGACCTAACCTCCATGATTCTATTAGCCAGGATGGGTAGGAATGGTGTCCCTAGCCTCTGTTTATCTGGAAATGGGTGACTGAGGAGGGATCACGTGAGGATTACTTCTTGTGTTCCCTCCCTCTGGAGCATCTGGTATTATCCACTGTTGGCAGACAGGTTACTAGACTACATGGACTGTTGGTCTGACCCAGTATGGCCGTTCTTCTGTTCATATGTTCTTATACATATGCACTTTCTCCACCTTTAATTACATCTGCTGCATAGTTCTGGTCTGACTTCACAGGGCACTTTGGCTCTTTCTATACTGCAGCACTATTTTGGGATACGGGTGGTATCTGAAATAGCTATACTGTGTCTTAAGAGCAAGCCCGTTATTTTGAAATATAATGAACTCGCTATTCCGACATCCCTGTAAACCTCATTCCACAAGTAGTAAGGGACATTTTGGAATAGCAGGTTATTTCAAAATTTAGCACTATGTAGACCGCACCAAATTATGAAATAAGATGTGCAAATTGTGTAGCGCAAATTGTGTATCTTATTTCAACCTAAGGTGCAGTATAGATGCCCCCTTTGTCTGTGTTAAGGATCCAGTCCTGCTCCCATTAAAAGCAGCACTGAAACTCCCATTGACATCACTAGAGGAAGGATGAGGACCAAAACCAGAAGGTCTAGGTTCTGGAAGCCCTGATCCTGCAGTTTCCACTGAGTGGGCAGACTGCTATGAAATGTGAAGCTCCATCATGGCTAGAGCTTCTCACAGACACAGCTATCTGTGCATTGTACATTGCATTTTGGAACTCTGAATTTAGTTTCAGGCCTTCACCTTTCTTGTAGAATCAGGTATATAGTAATCATTCAGCATTTAGAGTCCTGTTCATATTTGCAGGTACATATTGGATACTTACCTACAAAGAAAGTGGTTGGACTAAGCAAGCTTGCAAGGTAAGTGGATGTATGCAATGTTATAGTGAAGGTGTAAGAGCCAAATCCTGTTCTCAGTGCATAGCCCAAGTGAGGTGAACTGGGATGCTCTGCAGAGGGAAAGGGACAGGAATACTTCTCTTAGGATATCTGGCAGCAACACAGAGCCACTGCTGAAGTTTTAGGGTTACCGTAAGCCCTGGCGTTCCTTTGACTGGTGGCTCTGCAGTAGCAGATCCCCTGTCCCCACTTGCCCTGCACATTGGAGTGCATGGAGTCTACTGTGAAGCTCCTTCAGAGTGCAGAGGGATGTGGAACTCCTATATGGTGTTCTTGCATTCTGATCTCCCTATGGTGTGGGTTAGGTCCCTATGGTTTCAGGAGATAGGATTTCCCCAGTTCATGTAAGCAAGTAACAAGGATTATGAAGGTGAGCTGGGAAGGATGATTCACTACAGAAAATTAGGATTTCCCCACTGTGACTCTTAAGGATAATTTCTTATAACAGAACCTGCACAAGTGTTTGCAGCTAATTATGTTGACTTTTTAATCCCCACAACTATTCATACAATCTGTGCATACAGAGCACTCCTGATCGCCTGCTAATAGAAAGGAGTTAGTGGGAGAATGTTCTCTTTGACAGCTGTCAGTTTTGGCATTGGCTCCCCACTTTGGACTGAAGGAGCCTTAGTGTGTTAGCCTCGTGGGCAAGCTGCAGTGCTTTGGTATTGCTTCTGAGGAAGAAGGGACTTGAGCATGGCTATGGACTTATATAGGTGCTGGAATTAGTATGATTTGGATGCTGCTGTGCCCCCAAGCCTGAAGTGGTTTCCATCATATGCAGGTTTTATAGTTTGGTTCAGTGATTTTCAGCACACCTGTTTTACAAATTGTTCCAGTATCCCTGAGGACTCATGTGAACGGGGCAGCTAAGAGTGGGTAGCTGGCAGTTTTACACTTTATTGGCAGCTGATCGAGTTCTACACTGTATTGGCTGCCTTAGGTTTTGGGTTTCATTTATATGTTTTGTTAGCACATATCATAGTTGTCTACTGTTTTCAGCTATGTGCCTCTTTCTATATCTAACATTTTTTATAAATGAAATTAACTTTTCTATTCAACAGGCTGAGTTTAAGTAAAAGCTGATGGCCTACACATCTTTAAAGAACAATCCAGTTATCAATAGCAGACTATAAAATAGTGTCAAATAGTGGCCCTGTTATAATCCATAATCTGTTCTTCTGCATTCTGAGCACAAGCATGTTAATGACCAGTCAAAGGCTGCTTTACAAATGTTACACAAAGGCTGACAATCCACAGTCTGAAAATAGATTATTTTGGGGTTAAATAGGATTTTTGAGGTAATACTTAATTGTTTAAAAGGGTATGCTTTCTATAAGGGATTCCATTTATAAGGTACTTGGGTTAAAATAAGTGGTACAAATTAGAAATATATTATCAGCTGTATTTAAATCATACTGCACATTGTAATGTAAAATCACTTATATTACAGTATGTTTTAGCCTTCTAAATAGCCAAGATGACATTGTCCTACATTATCCTCTGATACCCAGAGAGTCTATTAAGCTAAACTTAAAGTTTGTTTAAATCAGGAAAGAATATTTATTATTCTTATATTTTTTCCAGAATTGTTGAAATCTTTAGTCGAAGACTGCAAGGTGTGTATCCTTTCTATAGTATCTCTCTGTTCTCCTGAACTGTATTTCAGCTAGAGCAGTGGTTTTCAATTGTCGGTTGAGACCTCACAGTGGGTCGCTTCTTCATTTTAATGTGGGTCACCAGAGCTGTCTTAGACCTACTGGGGCCCAGGGCCAAAACCAAAGCTCAAGCCCCACTACCCAAGGGCTTCAGCCCTGGGTTGCAGGGCTCAGGTTACAGGCCCCCTGCCTGGACTGATGCCCTTAGGTTTTGACTTAGGAACCCCACTCAGGGCTGTGGGTCTTAGGCTTTGGCTCCTCCTCCCCCTGGGGCAACAGGGCTTGGGTTGACTCAGGCTTCAGTGCCCCTCCCAGGGTCATGTAGTACATTTCGTTGTCAGAAGGGAGTCATATAGGGTTGCCAACTATCTGATCTCACAAACGTACACACCCTGGTCACACTCCTGTCCTGTCCCTTCTCCACAGCCCTGCTCCTGCTCACTCCATCCCTCTCCCTTCATCACTCGCTCTCCCTGACCCACTTTCACCAGGATGAGGCAGGAGTTTAGGGTGCAGGCCCTAGGCTGGGGCTGAGGGGTTTGGTGTGTGAGAGGGAGCTCGGGGCTGAGGGGTTTGGTGTGTGAGAGGGAGCGCAGGGCTGAGCCTGGTGCAGGAGGTTGGAGTACAGGAGGGGGTGCAGACTTTGGGGTAGAGTTTGGATGCAGGAGGGGGTTCAGGACTGGGCCAGGGGGTTGGAGTGCAGGGGGGTGAAGGGAGCAGGCTTCAGGAGGGGGCTGAGGGATGGGACAAGGGTTTGAGGTATAGTAGTTGCAGTGGAGTGAGGGCTCTGAGGGAATTTGGGTGCAATGGGGGCTCAGATGTGGAGCAGGGAGTTGGGATGCTGGAAGGGGAGGAGGGAGTATGAGCTCTGGGAGGGGCTTAGGGTTGGAGCAGGAGATTCAGGGTATGAGATAGGGTGTGGGCTCCAGGAGGGGGCTCGGGTGAGATGGGGGGGATTAGGTTGGGGGAGGGATGAGGATGCAGGCTCAAGCCAAGCAGCACTTACCTTGGGCATTGCCAGGTCCCAGTCGGTGGTGTAGCAGGGTTAAAACAGGCTCTCTGCCTGCCCTAGCCTCGTGCCACTCCCGGAAGTGGTCAGCATGTCTCTTAGTGTATGCCTAACTTGAATTGTCACTAGTCCTGTTGAAGTAAATATATTTAAAGGTAGGTATAGGCCTAAGCACTCCTCTGAACTGGGACTATAATAAATGTGGCATATAAAATTGTCATAGGACCAGGCAGAAAACAAATTAAAACAGCCTGATCCTACTCCTCAATCTCGGCTGGAAGCTTGTGATGTCAATCCCATGGCAGTATAGTGGCCAAGTTCAGAGCCTCAGTACTTACACTTCAGCAGCTAGGTTAGTCTAATGGGGAAGGTGTGCTAATGAAATGCATTGGGTCCCCTTTTGTGAAAGAATGAGGAAGTGTACTCTGTGCATAGGACACCTGTGATAGGTAGCCAAGGAGGACAGAAGTCTCTGCAGCGTGGGAAAAACGGACTTTTGGTGATGTATTTCACAGGGAGTAAGGGATTCAAAATCCTGTGTGCAATCAAGGTGGCTAAATATAGGCTGACTGAATAAAGAATAAATTTCAGGACTCCAAAGGTGTCTTTTCAGCATTTTTACAAGCACTTTTTACACTTTTAAGTTCACATTGAAAAATTAATTTTAAAAAACCATTTCTAGCACAAGGACTCATTTTATTTTAGTTAGCTAGTGGGGGAATTTGATAGACTGTATTTAGAACACTTTAGGAATGCATTTTCTTTAAAAATTCTTAAGGTGTACTAAGAGTGGTAATTACCTATAGAAAAATCACACTGTTCTCTTTTTAGTTCAGGAGCGGCTTACCAGACAGATTGCTCTGGCAATTACTGAGGCTCTGAAACCTGCTGGAGTGGCTGTGATTGTAGAAGCATCGTAAGTAATCCATTATTGTTAGTCCCATTAAAGTCAACTTCTAAACCAGAGGTGTACAATAATTTTTGACGGGGAGCCACTCCAAGATTTTGGAAAGTGATTGAGAGCCACATTCTTCCATGTTATTAATGGAAAAGGTGCAGGTTCTGGGATGGAGGTTGGGTGCAGAAGGGAGCTTGGGATAAGGGACTGGGGTTCAGGAAGGAGAGTGGGATCTGGGATGGAGTTTGGGTGAAGGAGGCAGTTGTGACCTAGGGCAGAGGTCTGGGTTGCAGGGGTTTGGTTTGTGACCTAGAGGCACAGGACTGGGATGCAGGAGTTTGGGTTGTGACCTAGGGTAGAAGGGGATTGTGATCTGGGGCAGGAGACTAGTGTGCCAGATCTGGGAGAGTGTATAGGTGCAGGAAGGAGGCAGAAGATTTGGATATGTTGAGTGGGGAGGCAGAGGGTTGGGGAAGAGAAGGGCTGGAGTGCCAGAGGCAGGCTCTGGCTAGGAGACTTACCAGCCCAACCAGTCTGCTTGCCTGCAGAGCTTAAAACATATCCCAGCCAGCCTGCCTGCCTTATGCCTGCACAGCCATGTGCTTGTGTGAATAACTTAGCCAGATGGCAAAGGGCGTGGTACTTCGTGTACTATCTGTTATTCAAACAGACAGTTCCCATTGGCCAGTTTCTGGCCAGCGGGATTGTGCTGAAGGAGGGATTTATGCCTGAAGGCTCCCCTTTTCCCCCTCCAGGCTCACAGTTTTTAAAGAGAAACTGCTCCATAGCCACTTTTCTGAGCGGCGTGAGGGGCAAGCAGGGAAGCCTGTCTGGGGCTCTCCACTGCATCTGTGGGCCATATTGGTGGCTTAGCAGGCTGGATCCAGCCCAAGGGCCGTATTTTGCCCAGGCCTGCTCTAAACAATTATTGCATCACAGTACCAGAGATGTTATTGTTACCCAAACACTAACCAGGCTGGGGAGAGCTGGGTTCCCATTCCTACCACAGTCTTCATATGGAACTTTGGACAAGCCATTTAATCTCTCTGGTGCAATTCCCTGTCTGTAAAATGGGGATCCAGATACTATTGCTTTACACTGGGCACATGTCAGGATTCATTCATAAATGGCATCTCATATATACCTTAGTCATTAAAGTACCTCAATAGATAACTTTTAGGTACAGATAAATATGACAGAACTTCAGATACTAGCTTATAAGAAATTGTGACCTCTGTTGACATTTTCCCCCCCACACTTTAACAAATGCTGCAGCGTGTGTATGGGCAACTTAGCTTGAGCTAAGTGAAAAGTGACTAAAAATGGGATATAAAGATTTTGGCACATTTTCCATTGTTCAAATTAGTACAAGTCTTTGAACTTGTACATGATGATGCTTAGTCATTCACACAGATGCAGGCATGTATGTGTACATTTTTCAGGCAAACAACATGTGGACTAATCATAGTTGGCACCCACACACTTATATGTCTGACTTGTAATTAAATAGCCATGACTGGCTTGTGTCAGCCAACTCGGGGTTGCAAGGTTTAGGTTAAAGGGCTGTTTAATGACAGTGTAGATCAGCCACGGCCACCCCCAGCTCACGAGCCACATGTGGCTCTTCTCCTCCCTCAAAAGTGTGGCTCATGAAGCCGCTCCTGTGCCTCTGCCAACGGCCCCTGGCTCCTTGCTCATTTCCCGCCTTCCCTGTGCTCACCAGGTTGACGATTCAAGATGTTGCCCAAGATGGCGGCCATTGACAGGCACCTGATAGGGCCAAAAAGCCTAAGTTTGCTTGCTTCTTAAAGGGGCAGCCTTCTTTTTTGCTTTTGTTTTTGTGGTTTTTTTTGCTTGATAATTCTGGTGCGGCTCTTCGCATTTTTTCCGCCACTGTTTCAGCTCTCTTTGTTAAATGAGTTGGCCACCCCTGGTGTAGATGTTAAAACTTGGATGGGAGCACAAGCTCTGAGAGCTTCCCTTCTCACAGGGTACTCAAACCTAAACATGTACATTGCAATTTTAGTCACATAGCCCTAGTTCTGAGTCAGTTTGTAGTCTGACCATGGGCGTTTAGCTGCCGTGTTGAATAGTTCAAACATGGTCTGCTTAAATTTCCTGCCAATATTTATTCATTTATTTCAACTTCACTCAAACATTGTTTACAGCAAACGTCTCCCCCACCCTCCCACTGACAGGCCCACTACCGGGTGGTCGGGAGGGGAAGTAGGGGTAAAGTGGACAACCACCCCGGGGACAGGTGATTCAAAAGGGCCTGGAGCTCCCAGCTGCTGGCACCATGGGCCCTTTAAATTACCATTGTATGCTGTGAAGTACACTCCAAGCAGTTCTGAGCGCTGGTGAGAGGGCATGGCATGATGTGGTCCAGGCAGCACTGAGGGCTGGCTGGCCCCAGCCCTGCCACTTCCACCTGAAGCCCTGCCTTTTCCAGGAGTGCACAGCTGCTTCCCCCCACCATATTGCCCAGGCGTCAGGAAAGTCTGCCAGCTCTTCCTGCCCCCCTGAATGTTGTTTTGAAATTTATTTAAATAAAATGGATTTCAAGAATGATTTTCCTATCAGTAGTTTGGCGTGAACTGGACATGCTTTAATTAGTCAAAGGCATTACTTGGCACACCGTGCATCGCTTATTGTCTTAATGGTAATTATATCTAGTTATCCCAGTGTGCAGGCTATTAACATATTAAACTAAGGTTGACTAATTACCTTCTAGGCACATGTGCATGGTTATGCGAGGGGTTCAGAAAATGAACAGCAGAACTGTCACCAGTACCATGCTTGGAGTTTTGCGAGAAGATCCAAAAACCAGAGGAGAATTTCTTACGCTGATTAAGAATTAAATGGAAAGAGCTTCCCACTCATGGTTTGTTGGCTCCAAAGTAAAAATCAATTGCAAGAAACTAATTACCGTGTGGGATGCAGACTGTTTATAGAGTTTGTGTTTTAGAAATACCATGTGACATACTGGTTCTCATTAATGTCTTGTAATGTTGTAAAATATTTGGTAAAGAATTGACATGCCTAAATCAAAATTGCTGAACTGAAATTAGCAGTTTCCCAATGCTAACCATAAAGTGCCATGTAAACATGTTGCTAGATGAGAGCTAAATCAAGCCATCCTACCCAGAAAATTAAAACCAAAAAACAATCACCACAGGAAAATGAAATTAAGCACAAAATCCTGTGACTTTTATGAATCAATCTTCAGTACTTTTGTGCCCCTTGTATTAGGTAAAGGGGTCAGAAAACCAGCAAATCTCCCCCACCAGTGATTCTTTTAGTGCAGAGGTTGGCAACCTTTTCAAACCAAAGAGCCAGACTACATCAAAATTCAGAACAAGTGATCAACAAAGAGCCAGATAAGAATGCAGGAGTCAGGGAGGGGGTTGAGGAGGCAGGGCAGAGGCTGGGGGGCACCAGAGTTGGGGCAGAGGTGGGTGGCTCAGGGCAAGGGGTTGGATGTGTGGGCAGGCTCAGAGTAGGGGATGGGGGCTGCAGGAGTCAGGATAAGTCTTAGGGGCTAGAGCAGGGCATGGAGATGCAAGAATGAGATCAGGGGGCTGGGAGGCTGAGGGCAGGAGGTGGAGGGGTGCAGGGTTAGGGTTGGGTATGTGTGGGGTTTAGTGCAGAAGGGGTGTAGGAATCAGGGCAGTGGGTAGAGGATTAAGGGCAGCGGGCACAGAGTAGGGGACCGGAAGGTCTGGGGCCAGGGCTTACTAGGGCTACCTGCGGCAGCAAAGATGGGCTGCTCTGGAGAGGGGAGGGGGCAGTTTCCCCAGCATCTCCTCCAGAAGGCAGTGGTTTCTAGCCCTCCCCCAGCATGTCCAGAGGCAGGGTGATGCTGGGCTGTGGTTCCCGGTTGACCCCCCTCCCATGTCCCTTGGGGTTGGGAGGGGATCACTGCATTCCCCCACAGCATGTCTTGGAGGTGGGGAGTTTGTGAGGCTGTTTGTCCTGGGGAGGTGGGGCTGCCAGGCCACACTTTGCAGTCCCCCAGCATGTCATGGGATGGGTGAGGGCCAGCAAGCCACAGTTTGCAGTCCCCCAGCATGTCCTCGGGGGGGGGGGGGCATGTCCTCCCCCTGCATGTTCTGAGGAAAGGCTGGAGCTAGGGCCATGTGGTGGCTGCCCAGCTGTTCCTGGGGTGGGGCTGTGTGGCAGGGGGCTGCCCCATGGGCTGGGGCTGGGGCCACAGAGCAACCACACCAAAGCCCAGGCTTCAGCTCCAGCAGCTGCCAAAAGAGCCACATTTGGTTCTCTCGCAAGTGTCGACTCTGATCTAGTGTAAGGTCTGGGAAGCATAAAATTGCTGTTATCTGAGCCTACACGATCCTATTCTGGTGCCCAAAGTAGGGGACATGAGAGAAGAATTCCCAGATGGGAAGAGGCCACTATGACCACTATGCTCTAGCAATCACCGATCTTTGGGGTCATAGCCAGCAGGGTGATGCATGGAATAGCAGAGAACCCAAGGTCTGGCCAATCCCCAGAGCTAGGGATACAATCGGGAGGCAGGCAGTCCCCACTAGGGATGTAATAGTGTAGTCAATTAACTGATCAGCAAATGCTTAAAGGTTAATGTTATAGAGTACACACATTCTCCCTCCTTCCCCTGCCAGTAAATTTTTTAGCAGGGGTCCAGGACCTACCCCTGCCGCAACTCTGCATTTAATGTGTATTAGGAGCCAGGCAGGCAGGTAACCCGGCTCAGTTCCGGCTCGTGCCGAGTCTGGGAGCTTACCCTCCCTCCCTGGACAGGGGCTGCTGCCACCCTGTGCTGCTACCTCTGTATCAGAGGCAGCAATGAAGGGCAACAGGTAGCCGGTCTGCAAGGGGAACTGGTTTTTAAACTGGCTCTCCTCACGGACCTACTGCCACCTGACATCCTACACTGCTGCCTCTGATACAGACACAGAAGTGTAGAGTGCTCCTTGGGAGTGGGGCAGGAGCGCACTGGCTACTAGTCCCACCCCCATGGACTATAGAATAGTTGAGTAACTGATAAAAATTCATTAGGTTAATTGACTATTCAATTAACCGATATTTAACATCCCTATGAATGTGCCTGGAGGTGACAGTGTGGAGAGTGGCATGGCTGTAGCTCTGCCTCTTTCCGGCCAGCTAAGCTCCCATGCCTTGCAATTCAGAAGCTGCAAACATACCACATTTTTGGAGTGTTTTTGCAGGATCAGAAGAGAGGGATGAGGCTGTACTTGTTCAGCATTCCTCCCAGTGAAATGTCCTGATTCTTTCTCCTAATCTAAAACAGGCTCCCAGAAGGCATAGGTTTGTTATTGCCAAGCAATGGGGGTTCATTACATTTTTCAGTCCATTAGTACTCCAGCAACTTTTTTCAATGTATGCAGAATATCCCAAACATCTCTCACCCACAGGAAAGATCTATTGTTTATGGCTGAGTCACCAGTCCAACTCCTTCTAAACCTTGCTTTGATCCCTTCTGGAGAAACAGCAGATGATAGGGCACTAGGATTGTGATAAAACAGTAGTCTGTGTATACATGCAAAGCTGCCTGTTGAAGTAAGGCTAGTATTAATCTTCTAGAAGATTCACACAAACTGGCATGGGCAAGCTCTGAAGTGCGTATGCATCTGAACACACTGATTAAGCTCATGCCCACCACATACATATCCAAGCTGCCATCAAATACAGTTTAAAGATTTGACATACTAAAATGGGAAGAAAATGAAAATCTGTCCTCCCATTCACCAAAATAAATCCCAGTATTTACCCATAAAAATTATAATTTTGTACTGATTTTCAGCTGTTTTTTGTATTAGAAATAAGCAGTGAAAAATTACTGGGAAACTATAAATAAAATAAAAACCATAAAGGGCCTTACAGATACACAGAGATGTATCTCAAAATACATTTGCTTGAAAATACAGTATCCTAAATGTAGAGTGATGATTATCTACATGCCAAAACAGCTTGTGAATGTGCCTTACTTAACCTTTGGCAAAAATAGGGGAACATATTAAATGCAGTATGTGTCTGAGTAAATGTTAGCAGTCAGTTAACTGGTAAATATTGGTTTTACAAATGAAACGTTCAAGATAAACATTTTGCAGCTCACACTATTCAAAACGAAGCATTGGACTGTCTTAAAAAAGGGGTTTATAATCAATAAGAGCTGTATAACTTAGTGTTCAATAGTGATGCTAAAACCTTTATATGAGTGTTTTGTGGAAACTGCATTTATAAGTTTTAAAAAATGTTTTGGAACAGTTATATTTTATGTTTATTTTATTAGCCTTTTGCTTTCTTACATAAGGATTATGTGGCAAACTTTTCTTGTGTGTCCTGTTCTCACATATGTAAATGTTGTTGTAGGTGTGTTGGATCAAGCTATTGAGACAAGGTGGGTGAGGTAGTAGTTTTTTTTTTTTTACTGGATCATGTTCTGTTGGTGAAAGAAAGAAACAAGCGTTTGAGCTACACTGAGCTTTTCTTCAGGTCTGGGCAGACCTGTGCAAACTCAAAAGCTTGTCTCTTTAACAGAAGATGGTCCAGTAAAAAAATACTACCTCACACAACTTGTCTTTCTATTCTCACATATCAGATTTGTTCTTTCTAGAGCTGTCCATTAATCATAGTTAACTCTACCTATTAACTCAAAACAAACTGACTCAAAAAGAGTTAATCACAATTAATGGCAGTTTTAATTACACTTAAATGCAATTAAATACAAACGGCCCACTTTATATTTTGATTAAATATTTACACTAACAACAAACAAAAGAAACAGTATTTTTTCAGTTCGCCTCATGAGTGCAGTCACTTCAATGTGGAAGGGCAACCTTAGATTTGTTTTTGGCACATAACTACACTCAAAACAAAAAACGCCAAACTTTAGAGCCCCCCATATCTACTCAGCCCTACTTCTTGTTCAACTAATCACTAAGACCAGGGATGGGGAACCTAAGCCCCCCCAACTTGCTTGGATCCATCCCTGAGGCTCAAGGCTCCCCCTTCTTCCCAGCATTGGGGAGCCCGTGCTGGTGCTCCAGCTCCTCTCTCTGTCCCCCTGCAAAGCTGGAGCACACAAAATCTACTAGCCTGGGCCCCTCATGGCTCTGGTGTGAGGGGAATGCAGGGAGAGTCTCTCTCCTCCAGTGGAAGCCACATCAGTGAGTTTTTTTCCCTCGCTTGTGTGTGGTCCCTCACTAATTTGAATGTGGTCAATAGCCCCCAATCCTAAAAAGGTTTCCCACCTCTAAGATAAACAAGAGCAACCCTTTTGCCAGGTAGCACTTTTGCCGGGTTTAACATCTAGGGGTTCCTTTTCATCCATCTCACACAGAATCAGCTCGAGCCCTCACCCTGTAGCCTGGGAAATTCACAAACTCCTCGGCGCCTCTGAGAGGCAATGCTTCGCCACTCGCAGGCACAGAGTCTGAGTGTAGAAAAGAAACTTTTAATGCAACAGAGAGAGAAGTCACATGGCATTAGCTTAGGAAAATACCAGAGTTCATAACCAACCCACAAGTAACTGTCCCAGCTCAGATGGATTGAGCAATGTCCTTTGCCTCTCAGGCTCACCAGTCCAACAATGTAAGGGTCCCATTCACATACCCACTTTCTCTGAACCCTATTTCAAATGCCCCACTTACAGCTCTGTCTAGTCAGTGCAGACCCAGACACATCACCCTGATTACTTCACTCACTGAGCCAGAGGCAGTGCCACCTTTGTGCTGCTCCTGTGGTCCACTTGCTCCTGCCAGCCCCCCTGCCGGTCACTCCCGCCAGCCGCCTGCTGCTGCTCGCTCCGACTGGCTGCCTGCTGGTCACTCCTGCCAGACAACCTGCTGGCCGCCTGCTGGTCACTCCCACTGGTCGCAATGGATCTGGCTCCAGGCCAAACTAAAGACTTCAGCTCTTAGTGATTTCAGCTCTTAGGCACTACCTAGGTTAGCCAAAAGATTCCAGGTTCCACTGGAATAACAAAGAGACTGCATATGGAGTCTGTTCTAGGTCTATCCTTAGAACAGAGGGGAAGGGAGACAGGTTGAACCAGTTTTACAGCTCACACCTGATGGACATGTAGCTGGCTGGTTCAAGCCCCTCCCCCGCAACTCAGTCCACTTGAATCTGGAAAGGGGAGGTTTGTCCATCTGAGACTCTTTACAATGATGGTGTCTCTCCTGCAAGCATTGATGGTCATATTTTACAATTCCTACATTTAGGGTTAACATGGTTTGCTACTACCGTAAAATTAGTTATAATACACAACATTCCATTCCAACAATTGACCATCCATCAGGTCTATACCACTGGCTGAACTGGATTTACATAACCACACCTCAGATTCCTTTCCCATTCCAGTATGAGCTGTATTTACATATCAACAGTTAGTTATCTTGCAGGGCTAAACAACTGAGTGAGCATAACCACACCCAGTGTTGCTCTCCCCCTTCAGCTGGTTGCATTGAAAGCAGTGGTTCAGACCCTGCTTATACATGTTTTTTGCATTTATGGGGTTCTACCTAAGGATGTGAACCAGTTGCTTTCCTCCTCCCACCCTTGCAGCCTCTATTAGAAAGAGTCAGCAATGGGGAGGGGGTGCTTCAAAGCAGCAACACTGCACGGAGCCTGGGGCCAGACCCTGGGCTCCACGTGGCACTGCCACTTTGAAATGCCACATGCAACCCAGGGCCAGCACGCCTGGGATGCATGCAGTGTTTCAAAGCGGCAGTGCCGCATGGAGCATGGGGTCTGCCACTTTGAAACACTGTGTTCAGCCTGGGGCCAGCTGGGAAGTCCTCAGCTGGCATGGACTTCCCCACTAACCCCAGGGTCTATGTGGCGTTGCCACTTTGAAACGCCATGTGGAGCCTGACGCTGGGCTCCCAGGGGCATTTCAAAGCGGCAGTGCCACATGTAGCCCAGGGTCAGTGAGGACTCAGAGTCCCAGCTGACTCCAGGCTGCATGTGATGCTTCTGCTTTGTAACGCCACAGGGAGCACAGGGCCAGCAGGGGACTACTTGAGTCCCCCGATGGCCCTGTGTTCCCTGCAGTTCTTTCGCCTTTGAAGAGTAGCAATAGTCCTGAGGCTGTTGCAACACTTCAAAGGGGAAAGCACCCTTATCGACTAATCAAATACTCGATGCAAATTGCATCAACATTTGATTAGCCAATTAATCTAAATTTAACATCCTTAGTTCTATCTGTAATTCCCCACCACAGTACTTGTAAAAGGTGAAGGGAAAAATACTATTTCTTTTATATTTTTATGGTGCAAATATTTGTAATAAAAAATAAAGTGAGCACTATCCACTTTGTATTCTCTAATATTTGAAACCGAATAAAATATCCTAACATTTTTAAATGGCATTCTATTAACAGTCCAATCAAAACTGCAAATTGTAATTTTTAATCTCTTGATTGTGATTTTTTTAAAATTAATTGACTGCCCTAGTTATTTTGCATTAAAAGAATGCAGAGACACAAATGTGTCTAGCGATCTAAGAGCCATGAATTTTCAATGAGTTTTATTTCCAAAGGAAGATACAAATTTTCTTTGTAGCCTTGGACAATTTACTCTCTTAGGTTTCCTTTAATGGATTAAATGCTACTATTTACCTACCTTGTTGGGGGTGTTGTAATGATAAAAAAATGTTTGCCAAGTTCTCTGAATATTAAAATAGTTAGTGCTGGGTATTACTGTTATGCTTTGCTCTCTCAAATTGATTTTACATTAGACAGACAGAATAGAGAAACAAGAAACAAAATGCAGCTGAAACACATGTAATATAGAATGGAGATTTAAAAAAGTCCCTCAAACCCAGAAGTGAGTGTGGTATTTATGATAAAATATGGGTAAACTCATACATTCAGATCCAAATGATCCTGCAGTATTGCAGTCTACATTTCAAATGATCTGATACTTTATGAAAACATTTTAAAATAGAGAAGCCTAATAGTTACCCCCTTTAAATACACTGCCCCCCTGTTCCATGATTTTGAAGGCTGTCATCTTCATGCGATTTTTCAACAGACCAATATGAAGTAGGAAATTAACAAAAAGGAGTTTGAACGAGTTCATGAACTTCATAACATTATGTTTGGTTTTGTTTTTAAGCTGAGTTCAATATCCCAAACACGTTTTCAGTTTTATAAATGTATGTAATGGTCTTTAAAAAGACTTCAGAAAAGTGGGCTGAGATCTCAGACTCATGTTAAGCTTTCATTCAGCTATATAGGGCAGATACTGCATCACATCCTTGTTTACAGAATAGGCCACTAACTTCCTCTCTAACAATGGACAGATAAAACATACATTTCCTAACATGCAAGATTTTTTCCCCTCCAAATTAGATACTTATGTATTGGAGTTGGTTATCCAGAAAGAAGTCTTTACATAAACTATGTTAAGTTGAACTTTTACATGGGTGAAGCTGTTGACTAGGATGTGAAATGGAAGACACTTTGAGTATTATCCAATTCTAATGATGCAATCTCGGTCACTTAATGGACTTGATTTTCTTCCATTGGGCCCAACTTTCTTTTGGTGTAAATCAGCACACTGGAGACAAAGATCCAAGACTGCCTTTAAAGAAGGTCAAGGCATGGTTTGGCAGAAGCAAAAGAAGATATTAGGGCATTTAAAAAAAAATTACTGTTCCTATAACAATCTTGTGAATACCAATCTTTAAATAATTCTTTGATCCCTGGCATGGCTGCCAAACACTTCTGCAAATGCTCTATACAGAATACTGACAGCCAGAAGAGGCTTATGTCAACACTACAGCACCCCACAAAACCTGCATCCAGCTCAGCTACCTTCGAGCAGTTAGAGAAGAAAAGCTGCAAACAGAATAGCTTGCCACACCTAAGTTTTTGTCATAGCTCAATTTTCTCTACCTTCCATCAGGAAATATCACCATCAACAGTTTACAGTATTTCTTGGGTGACTCATGAAGTTGTTTCAGTAACAGTTGTGACACCAAGAGAAAAATTAAATCAAGGATATTTATTCACAGAATGAAACTATAACTGAGTGATAGTTGAAGCAAGTTGCAAATAAGAAAAAAAAAGGGATAGTGATGGAAATGGAAGGGACCGTGTGATGGGCTGATGTTGGCAGCCATGATTTGAGGTCATTGGAAGCCAGCACCTTGATCACTTAGAATACCGAGGGCACTGGGTGTGTTTGGAGCAGAAGTGACTGAGGTAATTTGGGTATGGAAAGATAAAAAGGATGACCTGTACAAAGCCTGATGAGCTAATGAGGTAATTAGTTCATCAGCTAGATAGCTCCAAGAACAAAGCAAACAATATAAAAGGCTGAACCAGGGGAGCAGGAAAGGGGCTCTTTAGAACTACTGTGATACACTTTCAATATAAACAATAATGAAGATGCTTGGTGGAGGTACTCTGATGGATTGTGTGCACAGTTTAACTCACAAGGAAGGCTTACCAGCCAGGGTTTCCAGGAACTGAAGGGGGGAAACCCACACTCAGATCCCTAGAAAAATACAGACAAAATATTTACAGATTAAATATAAGGAAACAAAAAAAAATCTTTATGTAGATGCATATGGACCATGAAATATTATCAGTGCTTAAGTGATACTTCAGGGAGAGCAGAAAAGAGGGTTCTAAAGACTTATGCTATTTCCAAAGTTACCATTCTCCTAATTTAGGATGATACAAATAGTTATCCATCCCTTAGCTTTGTAGCACTTTTATGAATATTTCTTGTACGCAATGGAGATTAGCTGCAGGCCAGTAAGAATACTATAAGGAACAGCACCAGCTAAAGTTCAGATCTGTGAGCTCACTTTTACAAACATCACCACTTTTAGATTCTCTCTCAAATAAGCACTCTCTTTCCTAGGAGATTGGATACACAGCTTCAGTCCCTCCTATTCAGTTTATAAAGGTTACTCTTCATGGTATAAATGTTTCAGAAGAACTAGCACAGCATTCAAAAACCTGAGTTCCAAAACAGCTCAATTAACACCACACTCCAACCACAGTACGACTAGCATTATATTTGTTTTATTGTCTTGAACAAGTAGACATTCCCGTGCAAAATAGGTGTAATAACTCATCTCAAAGAGGAGACTTGATATTTCTAAAGCATTCCACTATCAAGCCTCAGTTGCAAAGGTAACATTAATTGAAGTACATTGGCAGTTAAAAAATAAACCCAACAAGTTACTATTAAATTATTTAGTATTAGAATCATTTGTCGTAATTTGACCAATATTACCCCAGTTAGGAAACCAATTAGAAGGCTCAACAAGAGTAAAGTGTTATTTATACCTACACAGCAACATTCCTCTGTGCAGGACAAAATAGTAACCATTGATTTTTTAATATAGAAACTTAAAAATACATAAAATTAAGTAAATGAAAGCTAAACTGGGACAACTTTAACGAGTTGACATGATCTCATATTTTAAGCATCTACAAAATGTTTACACCATTATGTAAGTGGTCAAGTCAAAACCTAACAGTGGAATAGCATAAATACAAAGTCTGATAATATGAGCTATGATGGTGGTAGTATTGATTTGCACACTAAGACATCTCATTACAATTTAGTACTATATCAATGTCTGTAAAACCATTATTTTTAAACATCAGTAAGTTTAGTACTAAAATAATAAAAGTCAGATCTCTTGGACTTCTGGTCTAATATGTCTTTCAGTTTTTTCTTCAGACATATATTAGTCTCTAATAACATTCATAAGTTATAGTAGTTAAACTGTACAAAGATTTTCAGAAACAAATCCATAAAATTCTCACGCAACATAATTAGACAGATGTTTGTTTGTAGTTCTTGGTATCCAAGACTTTTTTCCCACACATTGAGCATATGCCTAAAAATAAAGAATAAGGTGAAGTATTAAGTTTTTGGGATATATTTCTCATCAACAATTTTCATAGCTGTAAATCTCTATATATCAAGGCTACGTCTACATTGGCCCCTATTCCGTAATAGGGATGCAAATGTAGCACTTGGGAATAGGCAAATCCGCGGGGGATTTAAATATCCCCCGCGGCACTTGCATTTTCAGGCTGCCGCTTTTTTCCGGCTTGTAGATAAGCCGGAGAAAAGCGCCAGTCTGGACGCGATCCTCCGGAAAATAAGCTCTTTTCCGGAGGATCTCTTGTGAGGCAACCCCGCACTAGCTGCTTCCCCCCAGCAGACCAGGGAGACGCAAAGCTAGCACCCCTCCCAGCAGACCAGGGAGACGTGGAGCGGCTTTTCTCAGCAGACACCTCAGCTTGAGAATAAAGGACTGAGGGAAGTGAGGTGTGGGAGAATAAAACTGAGCTCTGGAGAAATGTTTGGCTAGAGTTTCCCCTACAATATGTACCAGTTCCAACTTACATACAAATTCAACTTAAGAACAAACCTACAGTCCCTATCTCGTACGTAACCCGGGGACTGCCTGTAGTTGTAGTCTCCAAGATGCTACAAGACTAACAAAAATATATACAGTATCATGAGCTTCCATGGGCAAACCCACTTCTTCAGATGAGCTTGGGTAGAGAAGAAAAAGGGGGGACGGACCTCAGAATTCTAACAGAAACGGGGATGTACCTGTCAATTGTACAAATGGGGAAGTGCCAGTGCTAATGAGACTAATTGAGTGGGCTGGAAGTGTCCCATACTTAGCTTTTGATGTCAATGAAATGTTAAATGTAAGGGAAGCTGGTTTTATAATGGGCCATTCAGTTCATGTCATTGTTCAAGCCAAGGGAAACAGTGTTTCATTTGCATATGAAGGTCAATTCCACACTCTCTTTGTAGTTGGCTTGTGAAATTTATTTGTAGAAGAATGTGAAGCTTGTATGGTACAGATGTCTAAAGAGAACTTATTTTGGAGTGAGATTATTAAATACAAAGTAATATTTGAGACTATATGGGAAATCTGCAGCAAAGGCATGACGAGATCTAATGGATGGAAATTTATACTGGACAAACTCAGACTGCAAATAAGGTGTATGTTTCTAACAGCAAAGTTATTTAATCATTGGTACACACTTGAACAATGGCCATGGTGGATTCACCATCATCAATGGGAATTTTAAATTAAGACTATATATATGCTTTAGGAATTCTGGAATGGAAGTTTATAGCCTGCCTAATACGAGATATCAGCGGTGCACTCTGGGGGTCGTGAATGAAAAAAAATGGTTGAGCACCACTGGACTAGATGATCATTATGGCCCTTCTTAGCCTGGAATCTCTGAATCTATAAATGAATTTCACACAGTTACCTGATGTTATATAGTAAGAATGCTCAGCAACAGCAACCTTTAATTTCAATAACACTTTTCTTAGCAAGGTAAGTTTGAATTATTCTTCAGTTCTATTTTTGATGCCTAAAATTAAAACAAGTGGAGTTCCATTTGTGCACTAAATTCAAGATGGGTAAAACTTATGCTACACAAATCTCACCTTTTTTATAAGCACATCCCTGGCAGTAGTGAGACCCTGGCTGATGAACCGAACTCTTACAAATCCGGCATATTGCAAATTTGTTCTTCCCGTAAGGATCAAACCTCAGATAAAAAAAATTAAATAGTCCAACATTAAATGACATGTAAAAGCCATAGGGAGAAAATACTATTTGTCTCATCACTAGGACTGAAAAATCATTGAACTTAGAGTGATTATGAACAGAGAATGTAGAGAGTCTGCAGTCTACAAGAGAGATATTCAAAGACTCCTAAGACCACATATGGAAACTAATAATATGGCCCACGGCACACCTGCAATGTGTAGACAAAGCTGATATGTTTTTATGAAGTTTTTACTTTAAGAAGTCTTTATTTGTAAACTATCAATAATAGAATATTTTGCACTTATGGTCACTAAGCACTTTGCAAAAAGTGAATTAATCCTCAACACACCTATGAGGTCAACAATTATCACGCTATTTTATAAGGGGACAAACAGATACTTAGACGTTTCTCAGTCACTCTAGGTCTCACAGGAAGTTTTGTCAGAGGCAATAAAAGAACTCACATCTCCCAACTCTTAAACCATGTCCAACACTTCCTCTTCAAATCTAAAAGTCAACTATGCACAGGGCTCGACAAATTATTTTAAGCCGGCGGGGCTGCGCAGCACGGTCAGCGCATACACAGCGCGGTGTGTGCATGCGCAGTGCGCGCTTCCATGCGGCTGGCAAGCAGGGCTCGCCGCCACTTGGTGACCCCTGACTATACAGATACATAAAAGTTTAGGAAGGACTGAAGCATTGCAGTTTGGCCAGTTGTATATTGTTTTCTCCCTAGCACAGCATCTTCAGACTTGTAGGCTACGTCTACACTGGCCCCATAAAACGGAAGAGGCATGCAAAGCAGGTAAGTCAGAATAGGGAAATCCGCGGGGGATTTAAATATCCCCTGCGGATTTAAATAAACATGTCCGCCGCTTTTTTTCCGGCTTGGGGAAAAGCCGGAAAAAAGCGTCTAGACTGGCGCGATCCTCCGGAATAAAGCCCTTTTCCGGAGGATCTCTTATTCCTACTTTCAGGTATTCCTACTTTCAGGTAGGAATAAGAGGTCCTCCGGAAAAGGGCTTTATTCCGGAGGATCGCGCCAGTCTAGACGCTTTTTTCCGGCTTTTCCCCAAGCCGGAAAAAAAGCGGCGGACATGTTTATTTAAATCCGCAGGGGATATTTAAATCCCCCGCGGATTTCCCTATTCTGACTTACCTGCTTTGCATGCCTCTTCCGTTTTATGGGGCCAGTGTAGACGTAGCCTACAAGTCTGAAGATGCGCACATTTGTATACAAATATTTATAAAGTCATAACACTGGATGGTCCTTGCCTCTAATAGCTTGCATTCTGTCAAGACAAATAAAATGAAAATTGTATACCAGTTTTAGAAAGCACTCAGCAATACACGAAACAAGTTTTGGCTCCAGTACAAAATTTATAAGATCTTTATTTTTAATTAAGATAAAAATCGCAATACCAACCTTGCTTTCTTTGAAGTCAGTGCCTTATTTTCATTTAATTTTCGTCCGCCACTTTCTTTATAGAGGAAAGATATACCAATGTACTGACTAAAATCAAAGTCATTTGTAAAAAGCTCATTTAACAAATTAAAGAAAAAAACACACACCCATATTCCCCTCCCAGACTTGATCAAATAAGGAGTAAAAAAGTTCATTCAAAATAAGAGCCCAGGAACATTATAGGTCTTAACAATCCAATAGAACATACCACGTTCTCATATTATTACTAATATAATATACACTAAATAGCAGAAATGCAATATATTATAAACAATGAAAAGTTATCTACGGAACATAAGCAGCTGTGACTAATGTAAGACTAAGTTCAATCAGCCTGCCAGGAGACAGTGTATGGAAACATAAAACTCTTAGAGAATTCATATTCAGTATTTTGTACATTTCCAGAATCTCCAGAATTTTGGTCTTAATATATAAATTAAATGTAAAATAGAAATAAGATTCAATACTGGTATTGGTCAAGGTAGGAAAAAATGGGAAATGTCCGTTTCTTTTTCCTGACTTGAAAGAATTGACATGTAAAGCTGTAGGTTGGTAGACTACTGCACTGTACAGAATTCATTGCACACCAGGGGCCTTAGTTACTAGGCCAATATTAGACAGAAACTTTGTTGCAGTGCTAGAAACACCTAAGTTTTCTGACTCCAGTTCTGTGCCTTCACCATCAGGAAGTTCTTTCTTCTCTTTCCTCCTCCCCCAAAAGGGTAAGCTGTCATATTTAATTACGAACTAATATGAAGGATGTGAAAGGGAAACCACGTAAATGGTAAACTGATGAGCCCATTCTCATCGGATAATGTTCATGGTTACATGTAGGCTCTGGGTATGGCTGGTTCCCAGGGAGCTGCCTGCCACCCTGTGTTACTACCTCTGATACAGAGGCAGCAGCACAGGGTGGTAGATGAGAGATGGCACACATGGGGAGCCATCAGCCATCCCACATGTAACCACTGAAATTTTTAGGACTTTATGTGGTTACTAAGGGTGTGTCTAGACTACAGGGTTTTGTTGACAAAAGCGGACTTTTGTCAACAAAACTATACCTGCGTCTACACTGCCGCTGAGTTCTGTCGACATAATGTCGACAGAACTCACCAGTTTTGTCGACGGCTGTAAACCTCATTCTACGAGGAATAACGCCTTTTGTCGACAGAGTTCTGCATCTACACTGTCCTTTGCGTCTACACTGTCATGTTGACAAAGCGGCTTGCTTGTCAACAGAACTGGATGTAGTCTAGACGATCTTTGTCGACAGAAGCTTTGTCGACAGTATCTGTCGACAAAACTTCTGTCGACAAAAGTCTGTAGTCTAGATGTACCCTTAATTACACACATTTTAACATTCCTAACCAATACCGCATTGTTAACCTACTGTTTATCAGTTTGGTATTCCTAGTCCATTTAGCTGCTAAATATGTAGCAGTACAACAGAAAATAAAAAGTATCTAATATCTCAGAACGACCAAATAAAATAATGACCAGGATTATTAGCCTGATGGTGGGTGAAAATAAAATGTTGAGGATGAGTGGCCTAAAGCAAATGGGTGGAAAAATGAATATAGTGCACCCTGAATTTGGATAACAGGACCACCTAATCCACATTTCATTATTTCGTATTGTGATATAGTAGAAATACACACTGCTAGGGATGCGAAAGGTTAACCGGTGGGGGTTGGAGCAGCTCCCTGCCCACTGGGGGTAGGGGACTGCTCTGGCTGTGGTGACCTGCTTGTGGCAGAGGACTGAGGGAATGCCCCCACCCCCTTTAATCCATTAATTAGTTACATGTAACATTTAATCAGTTAACCAATTAAATGGAATTTTACATCTCTACAAACTGCACTATAGAAGAGCAAAATAATTATAGTCCAATAGACTGAATTATCATAGGAAAGAATCTGAAGTGAAGGACAGAAATGGGGAAGCTGCTCATCTATTGGCATTGTTCTTTGCATAATAAAAGCTTAAAGTCTTCCTCAATTAAGTTAGTCTTTGAATGCAACACCTGTAGTATTTCTTGCTCCATCTTTCCATGTGTCAGGTGTAATCACAGTGCCAAGTTTCTTCTCACCTGTAACAGAACACACAGCAGGGGAAGAAAACTAGACTTAGTTTTCATTAAAGCCTCTAAGCAAATGGTTCTTATTAATACAAATGTTATTAAATATATATTTCTGGAATCAGTGCTTAGCAGCTCCACATGAGAAGCCAGGCTCTGCTTAGACCCTATAGATCCCCTGTGAAAGATGCTAGTTCATTGATAGAGGCAATGATACAGATGAGACAAGAGCAGGGGCAGCCAGGAAGCTGTGATGTGAATATTGACAGCTACCCCACACAAACCCAGGCAGTTTACCAATAGCTATGCCCATCTCAGTTATGACCGCCCAGCTGTGGGTGAGAGGAGGAGAATGAGTGAGTGCACATGCACACACGTGTGTGTGTGTAGATGAGACCCAGCCCGAACAGGGAGATACATCATGCCCCCATCCTGGCAGAGCTCCCTCTAAGCTAAACAGCTGCCTAAAAATCCTTTCACAAGGGTTCAGGGCTACTGTGCATGGAGTTGCCAGAGACTGGGGGAAGAGATGCAGGGGCAGCAGGCGGGAGCCTATACTTGATGGGAGCCAGCTTAAAAGCTGCCCTGTGTGTAACTGTGTAATTTTCAGCAGTTAGGCAGTTACACACACTTTAACATGCCTTCAGATCATCCCTGTGCAAAATGAATGTTATGTGCATCAATACGGAGGAGATGTGCTGCACATGAGCTCCATATTGGTGCACTCAGGAGAGATGTCAGACAGTGTTTAACTGACAAAAAGGCTAATGGCATATTAGGTTGCATTAAGAGGAACATTGCCAGCAGATCCAGAGATGTCATCATTCCCCTTTATTCGGCTTTGGTGAGGCTGCATCTGGAGTATTGTGTCCAGTTCTGGGCCCCCCCCACTACAAAAAGGATGTGGATGCATTGGAGAGGGTCCAGTGGATGGCAACCAAAATGATTAGGGGGCTGGAGCATATGACTTATGAGGAGAGGCTGAGGGACTTGGGTCTGTTTAGTCTGCAGAAGCGAAGAGTGAGGGGGGATTTGATAGCAGCCTTCAACTTCCTGAAGGGAGGGTCCAAAGAGGATGGAGAGAGGCTGTTCTCAGTAGTGACAGATGGCAGAACAAGGAGCAATGGTCTCAAGTTGTGGTGGGAGAGGTCCAGGTTGGATATTAGGAAAAACTGTTTCACTAGAAGGGTGGTGAAGCACTGGAATGGTTACCTAGGGAAGTAGTGGAGTCTCCATCCCTAGAGGTGTTTAAGTCTCGGCTTGACAAAGCCCTGGCCGGGTTGATTTAGTTGGGATTGGTCCTGCCTAGAGCAAGGGCCGGACTTGACCTTCTGAGGTCTCTTCCAGCTCTATGGCTCTATGAATAATCATGTAACTTCAACCTCCCCCCTTGCGCAGATGGTAGGGGGCGGGGAAAGAGGATCCCCTGCCCCGCTGGGCACCCAGCTGCGGCGGGGGGAGGGGGGATGGTCTCGCGGCTCAGGCGGTGGGCGAGGACTCCAGGCACGCATCGGCTTGGCGGAGCCCAGGCGCGGGGCGCTGCCCGAAGTGGCGGGGAGGGACCGGCGCCCGCGAGGACTCACACTTCTCGCAGACCATGCTGAGCTGGAACCGCCGCCGGGCAGCCACAGACCACCAACAGCTCGACAGACCAAAACAAACTGCCACTTCCGGCCAGTCCCTTCCTCTTCCGGCCTCCGCGCTCGCCCGCCTCCCTATGGAGCCCACCTATGGGGCTGCTCAATGTACGTCCCCCGCAGCCTGACTGGTCGCCACCATCCGTCACTCTCATGCCTTGTGTCTTCTCCTTTGAGCAAGGCGCGCAGCGCCGCCTGCTACGCAGGGAGTTGAGCGCCGGGGCTCGAGAGCCGCGCGACCTCTGACCTCGTGTTCGGCGTAGTCCCGCCCACTGTCAGCATGGAGCCCACCTATGGGGCTGCTCAATGTACGTCCCCCGCAGCCTGACTGGTCGCCACCATCCGTCACTCTCATGCCTTGTGTCTTCTCCTTTGAGCAAGGCGCGCAGCGCCGCCTGCTACGCAGGGAGTTGAGCGCCGGGGCTCGAGAGCCGCGCGACCTCTGACCTCGTGTTCGGCGTAGTCCCGCCCACTGTCAGCAGACAGGGACTCGGGTAAGAGACAAACGGTCTGTGCTCTTCCTTCCCAGCAGGCTGCTGCCCGCCCCCCCCCC